GGAATAAATCAAAGAACCAATGTTCATGGCTACGACAAGGGACCAAAGCAATATGATAAGTGGACCAGCAGTCTTTTCCACAAATAATGCTTAAATAAATGGATACCTACATTCCAAAAAAGAAAGAATCTAGAAACTGACTTCACAAAAATGAATTTAAATGGAATACAGACCTAAATGCAAACCTATACAATTCTCAGAAAGTAACATATGAGAAAATCTAGATATCCTTAGGTTTGAGGATAACTTTTTAGATAGGACACTAAAAATGTTATCCATGAATAAAGAAATTCATAAACTAAATATTATTAAAGTTGAAATTGTTATTCCAAAAAGGATATCATCAAAACAAAGGATAATTCACAGACATGAAGACACTATTTGCAAAGGATGTATCTCATATCTGATGAAGTATTGTTTAAAAAAATATGGAGAGTTACTACTATAGTTTAGATCTTGAATGTCCCCAAAAGGTTTGAGGTTGAAGTCTTGGTCCTCAGCCTGTGGTATTACTAAGAGATGGTGGAACCTTTTCAAGGTGGGGCCTCATGGAAGGAAGTGAGGTCAAGGGAGGTGTGACCCTCGAAGGGGATATTGGGATTGTGAACACTTCTTGTCTCTCTCTTTGCTTTCTAGCTTCCATGAGATAAACAAGCCTCCTCTGACATATGCTACTTCACAGGCCCAAAGCAGCAGGGCCAAGCAATCATAGGCCAAAATCTCTGAAACCATGAGCCAAAACAAACCTTTCCTTTTTTTTAAGTTGATTATTTCAGGTGTTTTGTTACAGTGGCAGAAAACTGACTAACACAGGTCTTAAAATTCAACAGTAATTTTTTTAAAAAATTGTTCAAAGACCTTAACACACATTTCTCCAAAGAAGGTATACAGATGATGAATAATTACATGTATAGATGCTTAATATTGTTTTAATCAGGGTATTGAAAATTAAAGCAACTGTAACTCATGATAGAATGACTAAATTCAAACTGAAAGCAGCCAGTAGAATGTTTAAAACCTCTGTGTATCAGTTAAGGCTCTCAAACTCAGTAGGAAAAAAAAA